CGGTGGTGCATGCCTGTAGTCCCAGCTGCTTGGGAGGCTGAAACAGGAGGATCGCTTGAGCCCAGGAGTTGGAGGTTGCAGTGAGGTATGATGACGCCACTGCACTCTACCCAGGGCAACAAAGCAAGATTCTGTCTCAAAAAAAAAAGAACAAGGGGAAGGATTTTCCCTACCATATATCAAGATATATATCAAGATATTATAAAGCTCTAATAATTATGAAAGCGTGGTTTATGCTTTAAAATAGATTAGTGGAATATGGAAATTTGATTGAGTGAAATGGCACTGCAAATCAGTGCAGAAAGGATAGATTAATCATTAAATAAAATTACGACAACTGGATCTTCATTTGAAAAACAAAATGAGAGTGATCCCTACATTACACCATAAATCAATGCAACATGAATTAAAGAGTTAAATACAGAAGGCAAAACTACAAAACTTCAGAAGATAATATAATGAATTATCTTTAAAACCTCACCAAGGAAATATTTCTTAAATAATACACAAAAGATATAAACCATTTAAAGAAAAATATCAATAAATTTAATTACAATAAAATTAGCAATTTCTGTTCCTAAAAGACACCGCAAAATAAGTAAAAAGCCAACCCATAAACTTGGAGAAGATATTTGTAACACCTATAGTAATAAATTACTAGTATCTAAAATATATAAAGACCTCCTACAAATCAATTTGAAATGGACAAAAATATAGGCAAAATACTAAATAGGAATTCCTTAGAAGAGGAAACACAAATGGCCAATAAACATATGAAAACATGTTCAACCTGATTAATAATCAAGGAAACACATTAATAGCATAAGACACCATCTTATACCAATTAAATTGGCGAAGTTAAAAATCTGATGATTTCAAGTGTTGACAAGGAGGTGGAGCAACAGGAACTCTTTTACCTTGCAAGTAGGAGTGTAAATTGTTATAATCTCTCAGGAAATCCTTTTGGCATCATCTGAAAAACCTGAAAATATGCGTAATATTCTCAATCCAGCAATTCCAGTGCTGGGCATATACATCCTAGAGAGTGTCCTGCACAAATGTAGTAGGAGACATGTATGTATAGGAAAGTTCATAACAGTCTCATTGATAATGGGGAAAAAAACTGAAAACTATCCAATGTCCATTGACAGGAAAATACATAAATTGTCGAATATTTACACAATTAAATACTTAAAGCAATAAAAATGAATGAACCTCAGTTACTCTTATTAACATTGAAGGAATGTCAGAGATATCATGTTGACCAAACATAGCAAGTTCCAGAAGAATAAATACAGTATAATTACATTTATATAAAGTTTCAAAACATGCAAAAATAAATAAAATATTATTTAAGGATATATATGTGAGTAGAACGTATAAGTAGCATAAATTTCATAATAATTAATTCTGGAGGGGGAAAAAGAGGATGAGATCAGGAAGAGCTATGGGGGATGGGGTACTTTAAAGATACCGGTTATGTTCTATGTTCTACCATATTTCATCAATTCTGAGAAGCCAATTTTTTTTCACATCTTAACATCTCTGAAATAAGGATGTATCTTAAAAGCTGTAACATTTTAGAATTATACTTGGCATTAATTTTTCTTTCTCAGTGGCACATAAAATAATGGTGTGACTTACAATTAATTTGATTAATTTGGTAGAACTCTCTGCAAAGACAAAAATTTCTCTTTCTGCACTGTCCAGTGTGTAGCCATGAGACACTTGTGGTTATTGAACATTTTCAATGTGGCTGAATTTTAAACTTTATTAATATTTTAACTAATTAAAGTTAAATAGCCACATGTAGCTAGTGGCTGCAGTTTGGAACAGCGCAGCTCTGGTGAATCCTCACAAGAGAGGCTCCTAATCCCAACGGAGGGCAGGAAGAGGGGCACCAGCCCCTGCACACTCACCAGCCACCATGAACAGAAGGATGCCAAAGCCCAGGACATAGTAAGGCCACTGCACGAAGAACTGTGGGGGGCTGGGCTTCATCCTCAGATCCTGGATCTCCAGGGCATGCAGCACCAAGGCCAGGAAGGCACAGGCCCCTGCAGGATCACAGGGAGGTACCCTCACTCTCCTCTAAGGCTTCCCGCCCTGGGTCCCACCTGCCTCAGACTTAGAGCCATGTGTGGCTGACAGCCCATGCTGCTCTGCCCAGAGGCTCCTTTATCCTGCCTGCACCCCTTGCCCTCTCTGAGCAGCAACCCCCACCCCCACACACATCCCTCCCTCCTTCCAACTCACCTCAAAGCCCTCGTGCCTCATCTCCCAGGGGTCCATCTTCAGAAAGCCCTCTCCTGGTACCCTGTGCATCTGTGCCTTTGGCCAACTCTAGGTTTGGCCCTCTGGGTATTACACTGGATGAAACTCACCCTGATTTTCCCACTGAATGTGTTCCACCTCCTCCATTTGCCCGGGAGCCTCCCAGGGTGGGCCCTGGGTCACCCTTTTAAAATGTCAAAAGCTTCCAAAGGGCAGAGATGGTCTCTTACATTCATTCTTTCATTCAAGAAACATTTCTATTTCATTTATATTATATATTTCAATTGTAATTCTATGCCAGCTTCTACGACAGTCACTGAGATACATAGGTTCTGGTAAAAAGGCCTCCCAGACAAATGACCCCAAGCCCACATGGTCAGGGCTGGCTAGCTGGAAATGCAGA